GTTCCAATCCCCCTGCCATGGGCAGGGATACGTTCCACTATGTCAGGTTGCTCCAAGCCTCATCCAACCTGGCCTTGAAGGCTTCCAGGGATGGGGCATCCACAACTTCTCTGGGCAGCCTGTTCCAGTGCCTCACCACTCTTATTGTAGAAACAGAAGACAAAGCATAGTCTGTGGGGCATTGCTGCTATTGCACAGTCTTCCAACCACGTGCTCCCAAGCACTTTGTTCAGTGTTACTGACTAGCAGGGAAGCTTCGACCTGCCTTCCTGGGAGTCTGTGTCCAGTCAAAGGGCTTGTCTACCTAGAGGAGACTTAGCTCCATGGCAAGCTGCCATGGTGAGCGTATTACTGGCTGGCTTACCTGTGCAGCCATCCTGCTGTCAGCATTACGTCTCTTGTAGATCACAGCAGACTTAGGGTGTGTGCCAGTTACCAGTCTTACTAGATGTGTACCCTCCTTTTACAGAGAAAGTTGACCTGAAACCCCAGTGTGAAATTGCCTCTTTCAAATGTGTTTTTGGGAACCGGGCTCTGGTTAGATTTTTAGGAGCAGATGCATATTAAAAAAAAATTATGTATCACCTGATAACCAATATTTTATTCTAGCAGAAGTAGACTAACTCAAAACTTGCCTAGTCTTTCAGATCAAAATAAATACAAGCATTAGGAAATAATTTGTTGTTGAGCATGAAGCCTTTGAAAATCCCTAGACAGGTCTTGACCTTGTGTTGTCAGACAAAATCTAAAATACTTGCACAATGGCCATGGCAACAGTTTGGCCAGGATAGCTGTATTCTAGATCTTTCCACTCACAGAGCATCGATCTCTGCTTCAGCTGTTGTTAGGCACCACTCTGAGCTGTTGCACTGCAAAGACAAAGGTCAAACATCAGCCGAAGGTCTCCTAATAAAAGCACCTTGAAAATCACTAAATAGTAAAGGGCCTAAGGAAGGATATGTTGATACGGTGATGTTACATTCAGCTCATTTTCAGGGACATACTTTTTTGTCTTGGCAGCTTCACAAGAAGTTTGGAAACATCTTCAGTCTCCAGAACTCCTGGACAAACCTGGTAGTGCTGAATGGGTATAAAACAGTGAAGGAAGCCCTGGTCCACAAATCAGAGGACTTTGCTGACCGGCCATACTTTCCAATATATGAACATGTGGGCTACGGAACCAAATCCGAAGGCAAGTCCCTCGGAAATGGACATTCCGCACTGGCACTAGCACAAAGACTAGTGGGTAGATGGAAGATTTTCTCAGTACGGAGCCACCTTCTCATGTCACTGTGGCCAATCTTCTTGTGTGTCTGCCATCCTTTGGTGGTGACAAAATCAGATATGATGAAGAGGAGGCTCCCCTTAGTGGTTGTAGTACAGCTCCAGGTGCTAGCACACACCTCTTCAGCAGTGTTAGGACACAATCAGTGGTACAACTTTCCTGCTAGCGTTGAGCTGGTAGCTCCTGACACTCAGGTCACACACTATGCACATATCATTGTCATCACAAAAAAAGGTAACTTTTTTCCAAGACAGAGTATTTTCCAGCATCCAGCCCACATCTGTCATCCTCAGCTCCTGTGTGGTGGCACAAGCTGCTACCCAGCTCACACAAGCTAAGGGTGCAATGCTGAATGGTTTGGGGGAGTGATTCCTTTATCCTTAGAAGCACTTGTTGCTCTCATCGCATCCCCCCTCCACCTTTGCTCGCCATGCACATGCATTAGAAGGTGCAGTAATCTGTTTTTAGAATTGCTGTATGAACAAGCTGTACAAGATCAGACTCTTTCATCTGTCCACACAGACCTGTACCTCCAAACTCACATTTGCTATTCTCTAGCAAACTTTGCTTGATGTACAGGTCAGAGCTCCTGACATTTCTTGCTCATCCATAATTCCAGGGATTGTTTTAGCAAGATACGGGCACGTCTGGAAGGAGCTAAGGAAATTCACGCTCTCTACCTTGAGGAACTTTGGGATGGGAAAGAAATCCTTGGAGGAGCGAGTGACGGAGGAAGCTGGATTTCTGTGCTCCGCAGTCAATTCTGAAGAAGGTTTGTCACATCCGGAGGACAGAGAAATCATAGAAAAAGGGAATACCGTGATGCAGAGAGAAAAGTAATACTACAGCCACTCTTGTTTGCGTGCAGTGCTCTCTTCCTAAGCAAATGCAGTGTTTCTAGTCTATATGCACCAGTGACCCTGCTCTACCTTGAAGCCACTTCTACTTTACACAGTGGGGCTAGTGTAACACTGATCCATTTGAACACAGGAAACAAATAGGAAATAAATAGAAATAAAGCAGTAAAATATAATTATTCCTAGAGCTGGGTAACTATTAACTTTCTGAAGTTTAGTGGAACATTCTAATACCATCACATGCAATAAAAGTGCAGCTGAGTTTTCACAGCACATCGCTTGTCATCTAAACACAAAGCAAAGTGTTATCTGTCAAATGACAGAACAACCCTGCAACTCAGTTTTTCTTGGGAGTTTTCTCTTTCAAACAAGGATCAACCAAATAGTAGTAGGAGATGAGAGGATCTTCACTTGCTAGTATGATGCATTTGTACTTGGAGTGGTTTGGGGGCTTTTTCTCTTGAAGGCATCAAGGAGGCCTTTGTGTATTTTCATTGCTGACAGCTGAGGTCCAACAGCTGGGTGTTGCTTAGCTTCATTGCTTGGTCTCCATTTCCATTTTTAGGCCGTCCTTTCAATTTACATCTTCTTGTAAGTAATGCAGTCTGCAACGTGATCTGCACCACCGTCTATGGAGAGCGTTTCGACTATGGTGATGAGACATTCAAGAAGCTGTCACATTTGTTTCAGAACTCTCTGGATGAAGAAACTGGATTCCTGCCTCAGGTAAACCAAGAGCGTAATATGTTCTGTAAGAAGCTTGTTCTGTTGCTTGAGAGCATTGTGTTTTCATTATTTTCCATTTTGCATCACATAATATCTTCTCTCTCTTTCTCTCTCTCTATGGTTCTGACATCCCAGCTTCTTAACGTGGTGCCCATTTTGTTGCGCATCCCCGGAGTGCCACAGAAAGTCTTTCGAGAGCAAAAGGCGTTCATGGACTTCATAGACGTGCTCATAGATAAGCACAGGGAGACCTGGAACCCTGCTCACATCCGAGATCTCACTGATGCATTTTTAAAGGAAATGGAGAAGGTAAGGTGACGCCGGCGGAACCTCAGGGTCCAGGGACAATTCTTCTGCCTGTTTAAGCTTGTTGATAGAAGCTGACTTTCCTCATAAAGCTGTATAAAACCTTTTACTAACTAATTTCCTACTTTTTCATTCCACATTGTATCTTGAGAAGAAAGGTGTTAACTTCTTCATGCTGTAATCTCCTTAATTAATCTCTTAAGAGACCATATTATCTGCTGATGTTCTTGTTCCAATTTTCTACCTTCACGTTCCCCTCAGAGTCTAGCAACTCCCTTCTTTTCAGCCTACACCATTTTGAAGGCATTCAAAAGGCAATGATTGAGAATTCACTCATATTTCTAAGTTTGTGCCAAGGGACAAGTCAACATGCAAGATTCTGTGTATGTCGTTGCCTCAATGACTGATGTCTCAAAATCAGTTACAAAACTGCAGGCACAGAATGGCTTTTTGGTATCACTGCCCAGTCTGTAGCCTGTCTTTAAACCAAGTTATGACTTGGGAAGACAGCATCTCCTTCAGGATGTGTGTCTTTGAATTGCTTGCTAAGAACTAGATCCCTACACATCAGATAAAGGCCTAAACCTGAACCTCACTGAAATGAAAAAGGAGTCTTTCCTTTGATTCAGTCAAGCGTGAAGTCAGTATAAAATCAAAGGTACTTACGTCAGCCCATCCATCCACCATATGTTTCTGCACATGGATTCACTAAATTTCAAGTGCCAGATGAGCAACAGTAGCAAATTCTGCCTGTGCATTGCTTCCGCCATCCGAGTCCTCAGGCTGGATTGCTGCTCTGTGCATAAGGAACCCTGCCGTGCTGCAGGCACTGGGCACCTCCAGTCCATGCGTTGCCCCCAGCTCACACAGGCGGAGCAACGTGACCTACGTTACTCTGCAGTGAGCAGTACTATTTGGGGGTGGATGTGAGCCTGACTGCGTTGCCTCTTGTCACATCTCTCTCCTGTTCACTACGGTCCCCTGATAAGCCAGCCTGATAAATCTCTCTGCTGGGTTAACTTTGGTCAAGTCAGTCTCATAGCTCCTTTGCCAGAGATCTTTTCTTGGAAAAACAGTTGAGTCTTAAATGCCTTATTAGTTGCTATCCATAGTACAACAGCATCAAAATACACAGAATAACTTAGCAGAAGCTAGTCCCTGGGAGAGGGAAGTATAAAGAGGATTAGAAAAGACAAGCAGATGAACTCATGCAGAGAGCTTGTCATATCTCATATGCTAACAAATTTGAGCTCAATTAGCATTTGGATGAGAGACTAGTTTTGCTGAAATTGGTGTTGCAGACTTAATAGGCAGCAATGATACCCTGACCTTTTTTTTTTTTTTGATTGTAAGAAAATAGCAGGGCAGAAGCAGCGAGAATCTGTAACGCATAGCTATACATAACCTTCTCAAAATATTGTTAATTTTGCATTTGCCACATCAATGCAGCCTCCTTTCTACTGCGTGGGTTTTATGATCTATCAAGCCTGAATAACTGTGTTCCACCTCCTCTGGGAGAGGATGTTACAACAAGTGGCAGGGGCCTGCTGACTGTTTGAGTTGAGAGGGCAAGGCATTCACTTCTGTCCTGAAGGCAGGTGTAGTGTTTATCTCTCAGGATACGGGAGGTGATTGATGATCTTCAAATACATGAGGTAACGAGGACTTGACATCAGTCATACACAGACTGTTGCCCGAGTTGTGCTCTACTCTCCCAATGAACTTCTTGGTCAGTAAAAATGGATCTAGCGCTTCTTAGTACTTCTCTGGAACAACAACCTTCTTGGCCAGCAAGTACCTGAGCTCCAGTCACCCACTTCTTTGCTCTCCACAGGGTAAGGAGGCTGAAAAGAACGGTTTCAACTATAACAACCTTCGTCTGGTGACCGCAGACTTGTTTGCAGCTGGTTCTGAGACCACCTCCACCACTCTCCGGTGGGCAATTCTGTACATGCTTCTCCACCCGGAAATACAGAGTAAGTCAAAAGACAGGCAGAGGTATGGTGTCTTCCCTTCAACTCTCATTTTTCTGAACATCTTCTCTTCGTGGCTTGGGAATTTTGCAATATGGATCAGCTTTGGTGATTGTTGGTCTAGCAGAAACCAGGAGAAACACTTACCAAACACAGCTGTTCTGGCAGGGACCAGTGGCAGGGGCGAAGCCCTGAAAAAAAAGGCCGGAGTTGGAAGGGCAAGTTCATTCTCACCTTCATTTTGAAGGCCAGCTGAAGACTTTCAGTGGCCAGAGTACCCTCCATCCAGTATTTGGGACAGATGCTAATCGCTTTTAATTCTCTAATGTTGCATGTCCAGGTGCTCTTTCAGCTGAACAGAGGAGGGGTAAGGTAGTATGTCAAGCAACAAGACCTTTATTAGAGATACTAGGCACAAAGAATAGTTATACAGATGGCTCTGAGAAACTGAAAACAAATGCATTCCCCTCTAGTTTCTGTTCCTTTCTCTAATTGCTTGTCCTGCTGTCACCTAGTGTCTACAAACTCATGCTGCCAGCCTTCCTACATCTTGTCCCAGCCCCTTCTGTTTATCTAAGGGCACTCTAATTTCTTACCTGTGCTGCTTTCAGGTAAGGTTCAAGCGGAGATTGATAAGGTCATTGGCAGAGAGAGATCACCCACCATGATGGACCAAGCGAGCATGCCCTACACCAATGCTGTGATCCATGAAGTGCAACGCTGCGGGGATATCGTTCCTATTGGACTACCTCACATGACATACCGGGACACCGAGTTGCAAGGCTTCTTCATTCCCAAGGTGACCGTGACCAGATAGGCAATGCAGCATCCTCTACCTGTGCAGATGCCAGGCATGAGGTGTGGGTGACCCCACACAACTCTGCAGCGTGGCGCTTCCAGCCCCAAATTACAGTCACTGGCCAGCAATGAAGTAGGACATTTTGAAATGCTAAATGTGGGCAGACGGTCACATTTGTGCTCCAGGTGTGCACTGGTTATGTGGGAACCAGTGGCAGTTCAGTGCAGAGGTTTGCTTTCCTCTCGATGAGCTGTGACATTCACTGCCTTTGTTGGAAGCAGAAAGAAATGAAGCCTAACAGGCTCTCTGGAGGCACACACCACCAGCTTCCTGGCTTTCCTGAGATGGCAGTAGTTAAAATTCTAATCTCTGAAGCTCTTCAAATAGCTTTCAGTCTGCCATTGTGACCAGCGGCTGCCCTGCCAGCACTGGTAGCAATGCAAGCCTGGGATATTTTTTTAGCCCTGTGATACCTCCTCTAGCTTAGAACACTGACATGTGAAACAGGAAAGCTTTGCAATTTCCCATGGGCCCTGCGAAAGTTGGGCTTTGAAGTCTGTCAGTCAGCTTTTTCTCTCCAGCTACAAAACAACTCCAGGCAGATCTGAGAAGCAGAGGCCGTTTCCACTGTGCAACCATGAAATTGGCATTCGCACACAATGGCCTGTGTAAGGATACAAATTGCAAAAGTTCAGGTGCTTTAGAGCATAGGGCAGGCACCGTATCTCCCTGGAAAAGTGCCCTGCTTTAGCTCTGTTTTAAATACGATACAGAAGAGATCGGTGCCTTGTTCTGAAGCACTGAACAATGGTTGCTATTAGATGGGAGACACAGACCAAGAGGGACCAACACTGATCTGTTGTGCCGAGATAATGCTGCTGTTCTCACTTAAGTTTCCTTTTGTGGAGGACTGCAGGGGACGACGATCATCACCAACTTATCTTCCGTGCTGAAGGATGAGACAGTATGGGAGAAGCCCAACGAGTTTTACCCCAAACACTTCCTGGATGCGAAAGGGCAGTTTGTGAAACCAGAGGCCTTCCTGCCTTTCTCAGCAGGTAAATCTGAGGGGATGATCTAAGCTGCAAGTCAGAAGCACAGCAGGAGGGGTGATCTGCTCCTCCTGCAGAGATTCCAGCGCGGTTTAATGACCTCTTTCATGGAAACTTTCTACTCCCTCTCTTGCAGGTCGCCGTGCCTGCCTAGGGGAACAGCTGGCCAGGATGGAGCTCTTTATTTTCTTCACGACTCTCCTGCAGAAATTCACCTTTGTGGTTCCTGAGAACCAGCCCAGGCCACAGGAGGGTAGTCGCTTTGCCCTCACGAAGTCCCCACACCCATATGAGGTGCAAGCTGTCCCAAGATAAGTGCACACCACTCTCACTCAGAGACCACCACCAATGCAAACTGTGTCAGAAATATTGCAGGTTTAGGCAGGATCATGCTGGGTTCCGCTCAAGACATCTGAGGTCTGTGCAGATGTCTCCAGCTGTGTAAAGTAAGGATCTGGCCCAATAAATAGATTAATTCCAAACCTGGTTCTTGAATCAGCCATAGCACATTACGAATGACGATCAAGTTTGCAAGAATATATGTGCCTAATCAGCCAGCTCTGCTGCGCTTGGGGCTCTCATCGGTTGCAGCAGCAGTTCACTGAGCACACAGCTACTGAAAGAATTACTACTCCTGAATCAGTTTACTGAAATACAAGGGTATCCTGGGTAAAAGACAACCCTGGGGTCTTCTAATTCTAGGAGAAAAAAAAAACTTGGAAAAATCCCTTGTTATCCTGCTGCATACTCAGCCCCACTCGGCCTCCCATGCGGTGCCATCCCACAGCAGCATATGCCTCTGCCTGGTGCTCAGGGGAGTCCAGCTCTGGCTCGATTCCTGCAAAAACAATCCACAGCCCGTCAGCTGATTCGGCATATGCTGCTGGTGGGCAGGGAGAGAGCTTCAGCTCCCACAACATGGTAACATTTAAATGCAGTTTCAGTTTCAGAGCAGTGCTCTTGAAAATTCTTACCAGCCAATAAATGCATAACCCCTTCGTTCCTTCCTGTTTATTGCCTACTCCTGTCTATTGCACACATATTACCTTGCCTTCATTTATGGCCCCAAAGAAAGCAAGTTTTAATGCAGAGAAATGCCCGACAACCCTTGTGTCACACTATGCCTCCAGCAGGAGTAAATACCAAGAAGTACATAAATAATCCCTATGGTGTTTCAGCCACAGAAGCAGGTCATTTGTGAAATACAGAAATTCCTATAAATGTATTTTAAGAGGAATCCCGGTGTCTAGATTTACCCTCTCCTATCTAAATAGTTCCTGAAAACTGCTTTTTTCAGCATTGCATAAAGTCAGCTCTTGGGCAGGTTTGGAACTCATGAAGGGATGGAATTACAGTGTTTGAAACAGTACGGCTGCAGATTTCAGAACTACCTTTCTCCTTCTTCCTGCAATATTCCTGACAAATTGTTTTGCAAGGTGTTAAGATATGTCGATGTTTGCATTAGTAGTAACTACTTAAGCGTAACTACTACTTAAGTAGTAACTACCACACGTGAATAAGAAGACCATAGCATAAAGGAGCTTCTACTCAGAATCACAACTAAAAAAACCATCTCTGGAACTGAGTGCATGTGTGTGCACACATTCATACCTATCTTTCTAACAGTAATTTTTCAAGCTACGAAAGCTATTGAATTATGCAAATACTTATTAATACCATTGCCAAGATTTTTACTTCAGCAAGAACTGCACGTTTATGCTTTTCATCTACAAAATAATCTGAAAGAATAAAGTGATATGAAAAGTCGTCTTTCTCACGCCTCCTCTTTGCGTTTGTCTCACAGACCTGCCTCAGATACTCACCTGACAACTCTCTCCTTACAGCCAGCACCCCGCCTGTTTCTTTCAAGATCTTTTCAGTGTTACTTTTCTGGTTGGTTCAATGACACTGAACCGAACACGCCTGGGTTTATAGTTACCAGCACACCCGTAAGTGCTTTCAAAAAGAAGCTGTCAGTGAACTAAACTTCCAACAGAAATGATTCCTGCAATCGTGTACTTGGATCCAAAGCGTGGGTACGCCGGGAGCAGGGACGGTCGAAAGAAAGTCAATCTATATGTGCCAACACCAGCTGGTGCGGCGCTTTGGAGGCGAAAGGGAACAAACAGATCATTGCGAAATACTCATCCAGCACTGGTACCGGCAAGGGGGATGCA